CACCCGAAAAGGGACGCTGGGGGGGTGGAGAACCACCCAGACCTCCTCCAGCCGCCAGCTGTGGGCCCGGCAGGGGAGCGGGCAAGGCGGGAGGTTGACTCGGGTGGAATTTTGAGGGCGCTTGGGTGGGCGAGGAAGGCTTTGGGGTCTGGACGTGGGTTTTGGGGTCGCTTGGTCATCAGGTGGATCCCCGTGAACGTCACCTCACCATGCCACGGGCTTCCCAAGTTTTTTCTGATGGTTCTTCTGGGTCTTTTCTGATCCACGCTCCTCCACCGTGCCCCTACCAGCTCTGCTCCTGGGTTGCTCCAGCCTTCCTCTTCCCTGAGCCTTTCCAGGTGGACAACCTCCACCTTTCCCAACGGCTCTTGAGCTCACTGGGCTTCTCCGTCTGCTTGGAGAGTGGTCTCGGGGCTGGTTCCTCCCTGGTCCAAGCTCCTTCTTCCCTGGGAAGCCTTCTCCATCACCTGGGAAGCTCTGGTAGATACCCTCAGCACACCCCGCCAGGACTTCCCTCGTGGATTTTCTTCCTCTCTTTGGAGAGCCAGGAGGAGTTCTGAGGTCTTGCCTCTGTCTCCTGTGACGAGGCATCATGGACGGTGGTGACCCACCCAGTAACCCACCGCTGTCTACCCAAGCAGGCTTCCCCGCCTACGACCCCGACCTGCTCGCTCGGCTGGAGCAAGGGGAGGACGTCTGGATCCCCGACATCCAGAGCTCGGAGGAGGAGGAGGAGGAGGAACTGGCGAGGCCCCTCCTGAGGCTGTTGACGAGGAGAAGAAAGCGGTGGAGAAGCTGTCGAGACACGGGGAGCTCTTCTGGCTCCCAGTCCTCTCGCTCAGGTAAGGGACTGGTTCCCCACCCCAAAACGGAGACGTTGGGCATCGCTCCTTGCCTCCAGCACCCACGGTCGTACTGGGAACTGGTGTAACTGGGAGGGAGGGGGTTGCGGGGGTGTGAGGACCCGTTTGGGCATCGGCAGCTCGAGGCACCAAACGCTTCTCCTGGTGCTTCTCCTGGACCAGCATAGCCAGATGTGATTGAGGGATGAGGTCAATCACGTTCTGTGGAGCTTCTCTCCACCGCTCGGGACGGAGGTGGAGGTGGGATTCCATTTCTTCTTGTTCTTCCCGGCAGACGATGGGTGGACGAGCGAGACGGAGGAGGACAGTTCCCAGGAGGAGGACGGAGACCTGCGCGGTGGGCCGGCGAGGAAGCCCAAAGGTGGCATCTCCCTGGGCTTCGAGCACCCCAAGAACCACTCGGGAAGGAGATCGGCATCTTCCGGCCACGATGGGAGGAAACCCAACGCCAAGAGCCCCTCAGGGCTGCACAAGCACGCCTGCGGCACGTGCGGGAAGAACTTCAGCCGCGGGTCGTCCCTCACCCGGCACCGGAGGGTCCACCTCGGGGAGAAACCCTTCTCCTGCTGCAACTGCGGGAGGACCTTCGCCTGCAGCGCCACGCTCAAGGACCACCAGAAGACCCGCTGCCAGCGGAGACCCTACAAGTGCCCCAGCTGCGAGAAGCGCTTCGCTTCCACCAGTTCCCTCCGGAAACATCGCAAGGTCCACCTGGAGAACGGCGCCCACCGGTGCTCCGACTGCGGGAAGACCCTGACCTCCAACTCGGCTCTGGTCACCCACCGGCGCATCCACACCGGGGAGAGGCCCTACCAGTGCCCCGACTGCGGGAAGAGCTTCATGGCCAACAAGTCCCTCAACAAGCACCGCAAGAGCCACGCGGAAGGCGCGGTCTTCGTCTGCCCGGACTGCGGGAAGACCCTCACCTCCAAGGCCGCCCTCATCATCCACCAGCGCATCCACACCGGGGAGAGGCCCTACCAGTGCCCCGACTGCGAGAAGAGCTTCATCGCCAACAAGTCCCTCAGCAAGCACCGCAAGACTCATATGGAGGAGGGGACCTACAAGTGTCCCGAGTGCGGGGAGGTCTTCCTGAAGAACTCGGACTTTGTCGCCCACCTCAGGACCCACCGTGGTCAGCCCCCGTACCCCTGCTCCGACTGCGGGGAAACCTTCTTCAGAAGTTCCTCGTTTAGGCGACACCGGAAGAAGCACTTGGTGGAGAAGCCCCACCAGTGCTCCGACTGCGGGCTGGGCTTCACCGGCCACTCCGCCCTCCTCCTCCACCAGAAGACCCACGTAGGACCCAGGCCCTACGTCTGCTCCGACTGCGGGAAAGCTTTCCGGGAGAACACCACGCTCCGTAGACACCAGCGGATCCACACGGGTGAGAAGCCCTACAGCTGCTCGTACTGCGAGAAGAGCTTCCGGGCCAGCTCCACCCTCATCATCCACCGCCGGATCCACACCGGGGAGAAGCCCTACCAGTGCACCAAGTGCCCCAAGTGCTTCATGTCCAGCTCCTCCCTCATGAAGCACCTGCGGACGCATCTCCGCAAGGAGCTGCGGGGGGGTCCCAAGCCGTGACTGGTTTTGCCCGACCCCCTTCAAGGTGCCTTTTGGGGCTCACCTCAGCGATGGGTGGACGGATGGATGGACAGGTGGATGGGTGGATGGACGGATGGATGGAAGAATGAATGGACGGACAGATGGATGGACGGACAGATGGATGGACGGACAGATGGATGGGCGGATGGATGGACAAATGGTTGGACAGACGGACAGATGGATGGACAGATGGACAGATGAATATCCCCTTCCACCCCTCATCCACCCCAGCAATGCATTTCAGCGTAACATTTGCCCTTCCCCCAAACACGCTCCACGGCAGAGGACCTTC